AATTATTTTATTTCTTACTTTGGTATAAGTTGACTAGGAATTATTTTATTCCTTACTTTGGTATAAGTTGACTAGGAATTATTTTATTTCTTACTTTGGTATAAGTTGATTAGGAATTATTTTATTCCTTACTTTGGTATAAGTTTACTAGGAATTATTCTCTTTCTGTCTTTGGTATAAGTTGACTAGGAATTATTTTCTTTCTTTCTTTGGTATAAATTGACTAGGAATTATTCTCTTTCTTTCTTTGGTATAAATTGACTAGGAATTATTCTCTTTCTTTCTTTGGTATAAGTTGACTAGGAATTATTTTCTTTCTTTCTTTGGTATAAGTTGATTAGGAATTATTTTCTTTCTTTCTTTGGTATAAGTTGACTAGGAATTATTTTCTTTCTTTGGTACAGGTTGACGAGGAATTTATTGATAACTTACTTGGGTTTAAGTTGATTAGTTTTTTTTTTTATATTTTTACTTTGGTGTAAGTTGATAAGGAATTATTTTTATTTCTTACTTTGGTATAAGTTGACTAGGAATAAATTAAATGGTTTGAGATGCACTTATTGCAAAATCCATGCATCATTTTTCTGTAGGCTGATGATCTGTTACCTTTCCATTTAGCTACAGCCACCAACTGTTCAACTCCATATTTTGGTACAAGCTGACAGTAAGGAACCACTAGGTTCATAAATTAATATAATGCTGACTGCTAGATCTAGATCTTGGCTGAGACTGAGCTGAACTCGTTGCTTAAAACGATGCAGTCAGGATATTTTCAGCCTCCTTTTGTCACCTTGAAATCTATATTTGCAGCTAGTCATTAATGCATTGCTGGTTGGACAAGGTGAACATGATAAAGCAATGAATTGGTCCAGTGACCTAGCCAGGGACTTGGTGTGAACTAATACCTGGCTGTGAGATGATCATACTGGCTTTTGTATGAAGGGAAGAGATGTGCTGCTGTAGCTGAGCGGCCGGCCAGTGAGCCAGATATAGGCAGTCGGGCAGGCAGGCAAACTGGATCAATACACGAAGCAAGACTGATGGCGCTTTGACGTAAGTGCAGTGTTTTATAGGTGTGCGATCTTTCTACATTGATGCTCTAAATATACTGTATACAGACAGAGTAGCCGAGAATAATTCCATTTGGAAATCAAAGCTTGTTTGGTCTATTCCAAGCCTTGTAGCTGCTGGCCTGTGTTAGTGACAATGCTGTGGGCTGCTGCTGCTGCTGCTTCTGATGATGCTTGTGCTGCCGATGCATTCCTAGTTTTCGAATGGGAGAAATAATGTCAGCTAGGGTTTGCGACAACGCAATGGCACCATCGTCATCGTGGTAGCTAGGAGAAGAGATGGTGACCACCAGGCTCTGACCATATGATTTACGGTCAGTGAGAGCCTGGACACTGGGCTCCGTATCATGCTGTCTGCAGCGACAACACACTGACTGTCTTAGTATTGCAGGGACTTCTGTAATGATTTGGTGCAGCATTTATTATAGGATTCCACTTAAAAAGCTTAACATTCAGCTGTGTCCAGCTACCATTATCAAACAGCAGTGTGCTTTCAGCTGTACATATGTGGATATTGCAGCATAGTTGCCCATAGTTCTCAGTCATCCAGCTTGGGTGGTGACAAGGGAGTAATCTACAAGATGGAGACAGTGTGATTTACAAATGTGTAGACATGTCGCAGATAAAATCCTCCCGCCCTGGCTTGTGTGAGGAGAAGCTGGCAATCTTGTGTGTGTGGTAGTCTAATGGCTAGCAGTCTAACAGCTGTGCCACCTAGATCATACAAACACAGCACCAAAAACGAAACAGCACTTTCTCAGCTGTTTTGTATTTGTTTAGGTTAGGTCAGTTCTATTGGGAATTATTGTCACTTGAGAAGGAGACTTGACCTAGAAACACAGACATGTTTTACATGTGCGTCCCTCCCTACCACGTCCTTGTATAGAACTGTGACAGATTTAGGTGAAGTGGAGGTCTCTCCCACCCCTGTCCTTTCGTCATAAAGTCACAGATTTGGGTGAAGTGGAAGAAACGGTGAAGAGAGATTCAGAAATGTGCAGTGATGAGACAGGTAAGGGGATAGCAATGTACTTGTATATCAGTATCTACATGTGAGACACATAGCTATTTGATTGCAAATACAGGCAACACAAATAGTTCCTTAGTTGTTAAATTGCACACATTAAGAGGAATCAAATTCAAATTGATTTTATATACCAATAACGCACATAGCTATTTGATTGTATATACAGGTAACACACATAGCTATTTGGTTGTTTATACAGGTAACACACATTGCTATTTGGTTGTATATACAGGTAACATACATAGTTATTTGATTGTATATAAAGATAACACACATAGCTATTTCATTGTATATACAGGTAGCACACATAGCTATTTTTACTGTATATACAGGTAACACATATAGTGTTTTGGTTGTATACACAGGTAACATACATACCTATTTGGTTGTATATACAGGTAACACATAGCTATTTGGTTGTATACAGGTAACACACATAGCTATTTGGTTGTATATACAGGTAACACACATAGCTATTTGATTGTATATACAGGTGACACATACCTATTTGGTTGTATACAGGTAACACACATAGCTATTTTATTGTATATACAGGTAACACATATAGTGTTTTGGTTGTATATACAGGTAACATACATACCTATTTGGTTGTATATACAGGTAGCACACATAGCTATTTGGTTGTATATACAGGTAGCACACATAGCTATTTGGTTGTATATACAGGTAACACACATAGCTATTTGGTTGTATAATTGTATAAACAGGTTACACATTGCTATTTGATTGTATATACAGGTAGCACACATAGCTATTTGGTTGTATATACAGGTAACACACATAGCTATTTGGTTGTATATACAGGTAGCACACATAGCTATTTCATTGTATATACAGGTAACACATAGCTAATTGGTTGTATATACAGGTAACACACATAGTTATTTGGTTGTATATACAGGTAGCACACATAGCTATTTCATTGTATATACTGGTAACACATAGCTAATTGGTTGTGTATACAGGTAACACCTAGCTAATTGGTTGTGTATACAGGTAACACATATAGCTATTAGGTTGTATAAAGGTAACACACATAGCTATTTTGTTGTATATACAGGTAATGCATAGCTATTTGATTGTATATACAAGTAACACACGTAGCGATTTGGTTGTAGATACAGGTACCATAAATAGCTATTTGGTTGTATATACAAGTAACACACATAGCTATTTGGTTGTATATACAGGTACCATAAATAGCTATTTGGTTGTATAAATAGGTTACACATAGCTATTTGGTTGTATATACAGGTAGCACACATAGCTATTTTGTTGTATATACAGGTAACACACATAGCTATTAGGTTGTATACAGGTAACACACATAGCTATTTGGTTGTATACAGGTAACACACATAGTTATTTGATTGTATATACAGGTAACACACATAGCTATTTGATTGTATATACAGGTAACACACATTGCTATTTGATTGTATATACAGGTAACACATAGCTATTTGGTTGTATACAGGTAACACACATAGCTATTTGGTTGTATATACAGGTAACACACATAGCTATTTGATTGTATATACAGGTAACACATACCTATTTGGTTGTATACATGTAACACACATAGTTATTTCATTGCATTTACAGGTAACACACATTGCTTGCTGAATATATTCTTGACAAAATTGAAAAAAATGCTTAGCATATTTCTGATTACTAAGAGTGGTTCATATTGTACCTGTGACCTTACTTTATGCTGGAAAACTTGTTTGTATCCCAAAAATCAAGGCAATGGCAAGAAGTCAAGTAATGGGTGCATCTGGACAGTGTGTCACATCTGTCATATAGTCTGTAACTTCAAATTCATAACAACAGGCCAAATGTCAAATATTGTAATGCTTGTCTTTCTGCACAACTCAGTATTGTTTGATCAAACTTGATCGATGTTAGCTGGTTATATTGTGAATTCAATGTGTGTCACATACAACTTTCGTATCCAGAACCCTATGGTCATGTCACAGCCAGGGGTCTGTTCAGGTCCTGCTCTGTTCACTAGCCCCTGGTCTCCTATTCAGAAGGACCTAAGGAGGATTCAGCTGCTATGGATGTTCTTTTTAAGAAGCCTAGCACAGTGGCCTTTGTTCTTCAAAGGGTTGTGGGTCTTCTGTGGGGAAGGCTTAGTCTTACCCCAAACAGCTCTGCACGAGGTAAATCTAAATATTTGATCACAGCTGAGGGGAAGAAGGGTAAGGGTATAGTAAGAAGCCTCATTCTAAGAGGAAGTTGAGTTCCTGACTGAAGGGCAAGTGAGCTTATGCCAAGGTGCGGCGTCCATCGTCCGTCTGTCGCCAGACATCTGTCCGGCGTCAACTTTTTAGCTAACCTGGCCCGTGTGCATATGCCGTACTGCATCTTCCGTCCTCCGTCGTCAACTTTTCTTTTGAACAATTTCTCCTAAAGAACTGGAGGACCAAGGGCCATGATATTTGGCCAGTAGGTACCTGGGATGGAGTGCTATAAAGTTTCCTCATTAAAATTACCTTTACTTACTTTCAAGGTCACAGGGGGTAAATATGTTAAACATTTCAAACAACAATATCCTAAGAATCATTTGGACTAGAGATATACTACTTGTGTGTGTTATGTGAACCAGCAGTGCAAATCTTTTTCTCTAATACAGAAATGAGGTCAAAGGTCAACTTTAACTGCTAGTTGGGGGTCAAATGTCAACATGGGTTAAGGTCGACTTTGAGTGCTAGTCTAAAGTCAAACGTCAACGTGGTTTAAAAGCTTTAAAATTAAAATTTCAAACAACAATATCTTAAGAACCATTTTGGCTCACCACTACTCCCTTAGTTTTCACCAAATGGTTACAGGTCTTTTAATTTAAGCTCCTATGTGTGTGATGTTGCACATGATCAGGGATTCTTTGATGCCCTTTACCCTGTTGGTCCTGAAACTCTAACTGATGGTAGGTTTCATCCCTCCGTAGGGAATTCCAAGGTGAGTCCATCTCAGGACTTTATTTTCCATGGCAGCTATATTCAGCTTTTGACCATGACTCTGGTTCAGGTGCATTGGTTCCTTAGCGATGTGGATACGATCAGCTCCTTGGCCGCTCTCGTCCTTTTGAGACAGTTTCACATTTGACCCCTGCAGATGTTCTTCCTTTCCTACTAGATCCTGCTACTAGAAATGGGAAACAGTGCTTCCCTTAGGCTAATCGTTTTGAAGGACTTCTTGGTAGACTCATCAGGACAATTTCCTTCAGGAGTAGTTTTTCCCAAGGCTCTGTACATGGAGGCTTCTATGAGAGGGTGGAGTTCTTCCTGGACAGTTATGTCTATTCAGGTGTTGGTCCAGAGATCAGATCCCCAAGCACTTGATTGTGCTGGAGATAAGGACAGTCTCTCTCTAGCGAAGGACATTTGTCACTTATGTGGAAAGGTAGAAGGAACCAGATCTTATGTACTGTGTTTTCTGGTCATATGGGTCTTTCTCCACGTGGAAGTGTAGTTGAGACCATTCAAGTTAAGTATATTCCAGAGATTAGGAATATGCTTGCTGACACCCTATCAAATGTTGATGTTGTCAAACTATGTTGATAGAATGTCAACTGAAACCCTTCCAAGCAGTTTGTCAGGCTTGGGACAGATCTCACATATAGGTCTGTGTGCCACAGCTCTGAACCCTGTGGCTCTTGGTTACTGCCCATCTAAAGAAGGAGGTAGTGTTACTGTCTGTTACATCATACATGAGCAGGGCATAAGGTGGGGCCTACAAAAAGACAGGGATATATAACTGTTATATTATTATATAAACAAATGGCAGTTGTGGAAATATATGCATTATGAAAATTGGTTTTACATGTACAAGTTTGATTGTCTGCAATAATTCAGTGTTGTGTACTTGTAAGTTATATTTAACTTATATTTCATCGAATATTTACCTGTAAATTAAGTAAACAATTGATTCCTTACATTCCTTTTCAAGCTACTTCAATTGTCATACAATTCTGCTCATTCTTTTCTTCCTTTGTTTGTGACATATATGAGCTCAGAACTTTTCATTTGTATCTCCCATTTAGCACCATCTGAAAAATATTATGTTACATTTCCGTCATCTGTTCTATCTATAAAGGTATCTTCAAATGCTATATATAATAATTATGCACTGTGTTTAGAAATTTTCAGTCCTATATTGATCTAGATATCTAATTATCACAAGTTTGAGGACTACTTTCTTCTTAAAATGTGTCACAGAAACACTGTCCTTACCGGTATTGAGAGATCATCTGTATTGACCGTTTACCTTTGTTGAGAGTAACCTGTACTTGTTAGGGCCCCGTATCGGAGATACGGGTGCCCTATAGTAATCACTGTCTGTCTGTCTGTCTGTCCGTTCACTTTTTGACCAATGTACATGAAACTTGGTCAAGATGTTCAGTTCACAAAAATACACATTGAGGTAAAAAGTCAAGGTCATTAGGTTCAAAGGTCAAGGTTAAATTTTACATCTTTTCACTGATGAACATTTTGTTATGACATTATGAAGCAAAGTTGATCAGAATTAAATAGGAGTCAATTGACCAAAGGTCAAGGTCATCGGGTCAGGGGTCAAGGTCACATTTTGTAGCTCTTCACTGGTGAACATTTCGCTATGACATTATGGAGCAAAGTTGTTTGAAATTAAACAAAAAGACACACTTAGGTAAAAAGTCAAGGTCAAAGGTCAAGGTCATTAGATTGAAAGGTCAAGCAAAGTTGTTTGAAATTAAACAAAAAGACACACTTAGGTAAAAAGTCAAGGTCAAAGGTCAAGGTCATTAGATTGAAAGGTCAAGGTCAAATTTTGCATATTTTCACTGATGAAAATTTTGTTATGACATGATGAAGCAAAGTTGATCAGAATTAAACAAGGAGTCAACTGACCAAAGGTCAAGGTTATTGGGTCAAAGGGCAAGATTAAATTTTGTATCTTTTCACTGGTGAACATTTCGCTATGAC